CCCAGAGCTCGAGATCTATGATAAAGGGAGGAGTAGCCCCATCCGGTGGACCATATTCATGGGTGGGACAGTGCATAAAGCTTAAAGCACCCAATATGGTACCGACACTTTGTTCACAGCTATAATCATCAAATTTTATTTTTTTATTATTAATATTACTCTAGTCATTTAATTCTCATCCAATGGCTAAGATTACTTCCCTCATTTGAAATCTAAATCTTGACCCTTCAATTAGATCAAACCCCAAAATTTCCCACCAACTTACCCTATCTTCTTCACTACCCCAGATCTCAACCCCCATTTAGCCAAATACTCAAACTATAGCTCAGTAGCAACCCCATTATATTTTCTTGAAATTCTATTGGGTATTTAGTATACTAAGTTGTATCAAGATTCATAAAAATTGAATCTTTACACTGTGTTAAGTTGCTAGAAGCATTGTAATGGTGGAGGCACAGTCATGGACTACAAGAAGGGGCAGCAATCCAAGATTGGAGTCACCCCAAGATCAAGTCTTGGATATGCCAGTAACCCCAACTGCTGAAATCAGGCAGCAACAGTATTCTAATGGTGGGATAACTTCTTTGGTGTCACCAAATGTACTTACTGCTCTTATAATTGCTTCTTGGTACTGTTCAAATATTGGGGTGTTGTTGCTAAACAAGTATCTTTTAAGTTTTTATGGTTATCGTTACCCAATATTCTTGACTATGTTGCATATGTTGTCATGTGCTACTTATAGTTTAGTTGCTATTAAGTGGCTGGAAGTTGTTCCTTTCCAGCAGATACATAGCAGGAAACAGTTCTTCAATATTCTTGCTTTGAGTGCTATTTTTTGTTTTTCTGTTGTGTGTGGTAATACTTCATTGAGGTACCTTCCTGTATCGTTTAATCAAGCAATTGGTGCTACTACCCCATTTTTTACTGCTATTTTTGCTTTTGTGATTACTTGTAAGAAAGAAACTGCTGAGGTTTATTTAGCTCTTGTCCCTGTGGTTCTTGGTATTGTTTTGGCTAGCAATAGTGAGCCATTGTTCCATTTGTTTGGGTTCTTGATGGCTTTAGGTTCAACTGCTGGGAGAGCCTTGAAATCTGTTGTTCAGGGGTTGTTGTTATCCTCTGATGCTGAGAAATTACACTCCATGAATCTGTTATTATACATGGCTCCAATGGCAGCAATGATTTTGCTTCCTTTTACACTATACATAGAGGGGAATGTAGCAGCAGTTACAGTGGAGAAAGCTAAGGGAGATAGATTTATGGTTTTCTTGTTGATTGGTAATGCCACAGTTGCTTATTTGGTGAACTTAACTAATTTCTTGGTTACTAAGCATACAAGTGCCTTGACACTGCAAGTTTTGGGGAATGCCAAGGCTGCAGTGGCTGCAGTGGTGTCAGTTTTGATATTCAGGAATCCAGTGAACATCATGGGCATAACAGGATTTGCTGTGACTGTAATGGGTGTGGTGCTTTACAGTGAGGCAAAGAAGAGATCTAAAGTAACAGCACACTGATGATAGCTTGAAAGATTCAATCTTGATGATGCCACACAAAGGTACAATTTTTTTTTTTGGTCTAATTAGAATTCATTCTGGTTGGGGATGTTAAGTGGTTGGATTGTATTCCACTGTATAGGAAGAAAGATGGGGTAAAGTGGAAAAAGGTTTATGTGCTATGCTTTTTTTCCTCTATATTATTGTTCTTGATTGGGGGTGGTTTAAAGAGAATAAAGTTGTCTCTTTTACTTTTCCCCTTTCTGTAATTTTATACTCCTTTGATGCAACTACAACAAAGAAAGACTGATTCTTTCGATATTGTTCTCTATGTGTAATATTTTGGTGGGAGAATTGTCCTCCCAATATATTTTGTCCAAACTCAAGTTTACTTTCCTTCTCTGCTATGTTTTAGTTGATTCTCAAGATAACATTTTTAGTGTCGATCCTTATTATAAAAAGTTGGCGATCTGGGGTTCTTGTAAAGACGTAAGTAATCAATCAGATGTATTGCAAACATTTCAATAATCAAAATGATGCAAGGTCATTTTACTTTTGAATATTTGATCTGCCAGCCAAGAAACATATTGAAATGTTGTATCTATTGAGGTCCCGGATTGTTTTAGAAAACGACTACATGGAAAATTGTGGTGCAAAATAGTCATGAGTTGCATTGATTGTTTGGATTATTTGGCAAGTCTTTTAAGTGGATCTTAGTTCAGAAGTTGCTGTCATTATTGCCAAGTTTCTATGGTTGCCCCACCCTAATTTCCATGTAAGATAGAATGACTTCAAGTTTTCAACTATTTCCAGCATGTTTGTAGTTTCTAAACCTTCCTATTTATTGAGTATGTCTGTTGCATATGAGGGACTTGATAGGAAATGCACCTACTCCTTTTAAGGTTAACTTCACGAATGTTGATAGATAGTGTACCTTCTACTTTCCGTTGAAGGTGGTTCATCTCCTCCCCACTAACTCCGTACCCTGATGGAGCATATACATTAGTCTAATCTGACATGAACCTACTGTTATTAAGCCTCATATCAAGGTTCTTGGAAGAACTACTTAGAAAGCATATGTAAGAACGTTCAGTATAGGAGAGCCACAGAAAGAAACTTATAGTATTTTGGAAAGGGATTTTTGCTATGTTGCACTGACAGTGTAAAGAACTTTTATACGTTAAGTTGACCTACAACATGTAAGTTTCTGTATCGAGTGAGCGATTTGTGTAGAATAGTAGGGGAAAACTAATATTTATGGTAAAATGTAGATCAGATGTGTTATTTTGCTTTTGTTTTACTCTTTGTGTGAAACATATAGAGTTGGTTAGCTACATAAAGCAAAATATTGGTTGTTTTTCTTTATGAGCATGTTAGGCATGTTACTTTTAGGATGACTTTAAAGAAGTTGTCTCTCAACAAATTAGATAAAAGAATAAAATGATTAAAATTCTTTCCACCCATTAGCATTATATATTTTAAATTTTATATGAATTACTAATTTTATCTTAAAATGTTAAAGGTTTAAGGTTCAACTTTCTCTAATATTATTTTTCTTAACTTTTTTTTTTTTGTATGATAAGGCTCTTTTGACCCTATTTTGTGCTGGTATTTAATTTATGCCTCTCATAACAAAAGAAATTCAAAGGTCAGTCTATTCGAAGAGCAAAACGTGTGATTTATGCAAATGATCTTATGTTAAAAAAAATCATCAAGGAGTATGGTGGGAGACTAATTCAAGACTCGGAGTTGATGAACTTTTACAACGAGTCAATGATTTCAAGTTTATACTATAATAATAATTGAGTTTATAATGAAATGTTTAATATATATATATATATATAGGAAATTTCTTAATAGATACACAGGAATTAACCAAAAGTTATTAGCTTATGATAGGATGAATGAAATTCTCTCACCGTTAATAAAAAATTTCAAATCCAAGCCTTGAAAAGGTAAAAATTCTTGTAATGGAGTACTATCTTTTCAATGAGCCTTATGGATGTAAATTTAAATTAGTTAGACCGATAAATAACATAGAATACCAAAAAAGTAAATAAATCACAAAGAAAAAAGGATAAAAGTGGGCCTCCACACACTAAAAACCAAGATTTAAGAGAACATGGCCAATGCAGCAGCAACAGATAAATGCAATCAACTAGGAAGGGAACAGTGAATATGAAAGATACTTAGCTGATTAGCAGGTCCACTTGGACAAGATGGTGCAATTGTAGAAAATATCCTATTTCAAACATCACATTTATGTCTATAAAACTTCATCCACTTGAAGAGATAAAGGGAGGGGCCATATATATGAATGTATTAAATAGATATAAATGCTGATGAGAAAAGAAAAGTTGTTGTTTTGGGGTCCTCTTAATCATGTGTTGCTACAAAAAAAAATAAAAAAATTACATAAACAAGTCAGGTCATGAAGTCAAGTCACCTCCGAGGCTTTGGTCTAGTGGTGTTAGAGAGCTTTTTAGAAACCAGATACATATTAACCTTTGAACAAATAAACAGAAAGAAAGAAAGAAACAATCGAGGTGTTGCTTTATTTCCCACGCTATCGAGAACTTGGTAAACTTAACAAACACGTTGATTCAGTCCTCAAATCAAGAAAAACAAACTAGTGGGGAAAAAAAATCAAGAGTTCAGTTCACCCGTCCCCTCGACAATTAAAAACATGAAATTACATCAACCATTCAAATAAACAAACTAGTAAGAAGGTGAAGGAGCAAGGGATGCCAATTGTGGCAAAACATTGATGACAAATTTCATTCCATTTTCTTAACCACAAGTCACCTTTTAGTCCTTTGGTACACACTTAGGGATTGTGGCAGAGTGACGAAGTCAAAATTTCTACTAAAACAATTCAAAATATAAAGAACTAAACACATAAAATAATATACAAAATGGTTTAACTATTTACACAACGTGATATTTCGGTGAAGTAACGTTAGTTGACTTCCGTTCAACAAGGATAGCTCTGACAGATTAGTTGATGGTGTAAATAATTTTTGCACAATAAGTTCAACTCGAATCAAGAAAAAACAAACTAGTGAACGAAATAAGGAGTTCAAGTCACTCGTCCCCTCGACACAAAACTCCAGAAAATCCTCGAGTCCTGATCATGAAAAATATGACAATTACAACAACCATTCAAACAACAAAATTAGTAAGAAGGTGAAGGAGTAGGGGATGTCAATTATAGCAAAACATTGATGCCAAATTTCATACCATTAGCACAGTGTTTGCCCACTCCACTGCAACCACAAAATTTAATTTAATGAACATCCCAAATTTGAGTTGTTTTTTTAGTCCTTTGGTGCACAATTAGGGGTCGTTTGATAGTTGGTTTGGAGGTGAGTTATACAGGTATCAAATCTCGCATAATATCATATATGATAGTTGGTTAGTAGGTAAGTTATTCATATATAAAATCAATATGGTATTTGATCTGCAATTAGAAATCCGCATAACTAATATATGGTAAACATATTCAAATCTTCAATAACACAACAAACAAAGTAAAAGAAATAACATAAAATCCAGGAGCCTCAGACACTACTCCTGAGTCCTGATTGTCTCAACTATCTTACAATTATTCAAAATGTGAAAACAAATAACACCAACAAATTGATAAATGTTCATCAGCTCACCCCTCCATACGAACTAATTTAATCCTCAAGTCATGATCACGACGATCATTGCAAATGCAGCAACAATCACAGCAACAAATTTGGAATCGAGAGAAATTGAAGATGCAGATGAAGAAGAAGAACCAGGGCTACTTGGTGAAGGAGCAGGGGATACTGATTCTGCTGGCCAAACATTAATAGCAAGTTTCATTCCCTTTTCACAATGTTTACCTACACCACAAATGTACCATTTTTTCCCTGGCGAAGTCAGGGAAATCTCATCATTTCCAGATATTAAAGGTGTAACATCACTACTTGGTGTACAGCTTTTGAAGGCTTCTTGATCTGCTTTATACACATTGTGAACGTCTTTCTTGTACTTGAATACTGCAATCACAAAATGAATCAGACTTAGCTTTAAGGAAATATTGAAAATATGTTTTAAGACAACTTTAGAAGTTCAGATGAGTTGATTACACAATTACTAGATATGAACAAATTAGATGAGTAAGTATGATAAATTAAATGTTACATACTGAGCTTATCTCCAACGTGGAACTGTTTCGTAGCAGCCCAAGCTGTGTAATTAAAATCGAGTTTCCAACCTTGATCATCACCAACCCAATGATCAGTTGCCATTGCTGGACTAGCAACAATGGCAACAACAACAATAATAACTGCAATCATAAAAGGTGTCGACGCCATTGAGACTTTTTTTTTTTTTTTTGAAAAATAAGTAGTTATAATAAGGTGTTTAGATGATTTGAAATTGTTGATTATTAGGGGATGTATTTATAGGTTGTTAATTGTTGAAGATTAAGAAGGGTAGCCGGCTAATAGCGGCATTATTCTTTGAGAAAATAACAAAGTTTGAATTAAATTTAATAGATGGAATTTGATATGTTGCTTTTGGAATTGTAGAAAAAAAAGTATGTCTACGATGACTTTTTATTTGATCCTAATTTTATTCTTGCCGAATGTCACAATGCTAATTATATTAACATCTAATCGTTTGCCCTTCCACATGGAAAAGTTTTATATTCCTTCGTTTTATTTTACTTGGTCTTTATAGTAATAAAAAAGAAATTATTTTTTACTTGTCTAGTTTATCAAATTAAAAAGAGAAAATAATATTACTTTTATCATTAAAATAATAGTAATGGCAGAGAATAATTTTACCTTCTCAAAGGCAGGTTGATAAGTAAAAATGAAGTGTTAAAGGTAGAATATTTTTGTAAATGTGCCTTTTCTTATAAAAAGTTTGTTCATTTTTACTTGTCACATTCATTAAGAAAATAATGTTTGACGTGATTATTTTACCACATTGTCCTTATTAACTGATATTTAGTAGGGAAAATTGTACATAATGGCAAACTATTAATTCAAATTAAATGGTATAACCACACTTTGATTTAATTGTGTCATGTAGCAAACTGTTTGCCAGTCGCCTCTCTCCCTCAAACTCTCGCTCACCACTCTCCCTCTATTGCTTGCTCCCTCTGTGCTTGCCTCTCTCGCTTTATACAACAGAATTGTATAAATTGTGTTTCTGTTTGTATAAAGCGAGAGAAAATTGTATATACACATGCAAATACATATATATTCGTCATATACACTTATAATTATACAATAAAAATATTCTCCTGCCCAGTTCTCTTTTGCCTTTCTCTCTTTCCCGTTTTATACAACAAAATTGTATAAATTGCGTTTATGTTTGTATAAAGCGAGAGAAAATTGTATATACACATGCAAATACATATATATTCGTCCTATACACTTATAATTATACAATAAAAATATTCACCTGCCCAGTTTTATGTTTGTATAATGTATAATTTATGTTTATATAAAGCGAAAGAAAATTGTATATACACATGCAAATACATATATATTCGTCCTATACACTTATAATTATACAATAAAAATATTCACCTGCCCAGTTTTATGTTTGTATAATGTATAATTTATGTTTATATAAAGCGAAAGAAAATTGTATATACACATGCAAATACATATATATTCGTCCTATACACTTATAATTATACAATAAAAATATTCCCCTGCCAACGAGAGGCTAACAACAATTTATACAAACGGCCTGCCAGCGAAATTATACAAATCTGAAGAGGAGCCAACGAATTATACAATTGCTTCTTTTTGTATATATGTATAGAGAAATAGACATAGCTTTCAATTGTATATGTATAGCATACAAATATGATTTTTTTGTTTGCTATATGTGAAAGTTGCTCTATTTAGTATTAGGTGTTGGAAAATGAGTTGAACTCAACTCATTAGACTGGGCCTTGTTAATAGAATGCATGTTTTTGGATGGATTGTCTGGAAGGCCCATATCACTAAAAATATTATTTGGCCCATATTACTACAAATAGCTATTTTTCAATCTTTGTAATTGAAAGATAGTGTCACTATTTCTAAAATTTCAACAAATAAAATTCCATATTGTCATAAAATTCAAAGTGGTGCAAGTGAAATTTTAGTACAATATCATGAAGTTTAACTTATAGAAGTCGAATTGTTGCAGTATGTTGAAGTTCAAAACTTATACAAGTCGTCCCAACAGTAACTGTTAGCACAAAAATAGAAACTATGCTACTAGAGATTTAATAGTTGTATTAGCAAAGCAATGAATGGACCATGATGAATTATTCAAAAGCAAGGGAAAAGGTTCTATCAAGAATTGTTTGAATCCCCAAGTCTAGCATTCTGGCATTTTCTTGAATTTCCCTTATTATAACTTTTGGCTCCGCGGTGGATCTTACTACAGAGGCAGATCTAGAGTGTCGTCTATGGGTTCACGTGAATTCAGTAATTTTGATCCAAACTCCATATATGTTTTAAGAAATCTACTAAATATCTATAAACATTTGAATATGAACTTTGTTAATATTGTATATTAACGTAAGATCATTATAAAAACTTATAAACTTTAAATCTTAAAGCCGCCTCTCGTCTAAAACATATATTTGTGTAAAAAGTTTTGATTGATACAAATAGACTATGACTTTTGGTAGTCATAAACCAAGATTCAACTACAACTTGAACCTACTTCATTATGGCCAAATGACACTATTTATGCTACCCTAGGCCACCCTAGTTATGAGGTAAAAGTTCACAACCAATGCCACTAATTCTGATTACACTTACCCTTATTTTGGTCTTTAAACCCGTGAAATGCAAGAAAATATGCCTCTCAAACACAAATCATCACTTCTTTTCATAAAGACACAAACCATAAAATTACAAACATATTCAACTTGAATACCTCAATCTAATAGTCTGTTCTCTCTAAACACCACAATTTACTTTTGTTAAAGTCTTCCTCACGAGAAACCCCATCAAAGATCCAAGTTGATAACCACCACCAACAAACTTCTTTTTTTTCACATTTCTCGTGATACATCTCATGTTTGAAAATCAATAAAAATGCAAGTTTATTATAGCGAATAACTACATTTCGTCCACTTATCGCGAACAATAGAAGGGGTGCAAAATGAATGTAGGATCAAATTCTGTAGGAAACAATCATTTAGTTGATATCAATGAAGTCTTGGATGAAGAGGAAGAGGATCACAATGAAGAAAACAGTAACATTTCAACCATAGCTGATAAACCAGACACGCGATTCAACAGGCCTACGAAAAATAGAGAAATAAAAAGGCCTCCTAGGAAATTCAGCAGGCAAGTTTCACTAGAGACAGGGTTCTCTGTACTCAATGGAGAGACATCTAAAGATAAAAATGAGCGAAAAATACTCGGAAGAAGTGGAAAGAGTTTTGGAGGATTTGGTGTCAATGGAACAACTGGTATTGAAGCAAGAAATAAAGGAGATTTCAACATGTTCAGGACTAAATCAACTATTGCTAGACAATCTTCAAAGATACCACTTAGAAAAGAAAGTGGAATTGAACTTCAGAACAATAATGTTAAAGAAGGACTTAATGATCATGTCAAGAAAAGTGTACCTGCTGGAAGATACTTTGATGCCCTTACAGGACCTGAACTTGATCAAGTCAAGGTAATTATCAGTACTCCCTCTGTTCAATTTGTTTGTCTGGTTTTGACTTGACACGTAGTTTAAAAAAGTAAAAGAAACTTTTGAATTTGTGGTCTTGAACTAAAGATACGTAGAATGTAACAAAATGTCTATTTAATCTTTTGTGCTGTCAGTGCATAGATGTTGCTAAACTCAGGTGTTTGTATAACAATCTTTTCTGCAGGATTCCGAGGACATTCTTCTTCCAAAAGATGAAAAATGGCCTTTTCTACTCAGGTTCCCAATTGGTTGCTTCGGTATCTGCCTAGGCCTTAGTAGTCAAGCCATCCTCTGGCGTTCTCTTGCTCTGAGTCCTGTCACAAAATTCCTCCATGTTCCACTTTTCATTAACTTCGCGGTTTGGCTGTTAGCCGTGGGGGTTCTAGTTGCAGTCTTCATAACCTACATGTTCAAATGTGCTCTTTACTTTGAAGCTATAAAGAGAGAGTACTTTCACCCAGTGAGAGTCAACTTCTTTTGTGCTCCATGGATTGTATGCATGTTTTTAGCTATTGGTGCACCACCTAAAACAGCACCAGGAACTCTTCACCCTGCCATCTGGTGCGTCTTCATGGCCCCAATATTCTTCCTCAATCTCAAAATCTATGGCCAATGGCTGTCAGGAGGGAAACGACGTCTCTGTAAAGTAGCCAACCCCTCATCTCACCTCTCTGTAATTGGGAATTTCGTGGGAGCTATTTTGGCTGCTAAAGTGGGATGGAAGGAGCCTGGAAAGTTCTTGTGGTCGATTGGCTTTGCACATTACCTTGTGGTGTTTGTCACATTATATCAAAGGTTGCCAACGAGTGAAGCGTTGCCCAAGGAACTTCACCCTGTTTATTCCATGTTCATTGCCACTCCAGCTGCAGCCAGCCTTGCTTGGGGTGCTATATATGATGAATTTGATGGCTTGGCAAGAACGTGCTACTTCATTTCATTATTTCTCTACTTATCATTGGTTGTACGTCCCAACTTCTTCACAGGATTCAAGTAACTTTCTTGTCCTTGAAATACGAAAACAGCACAAGAGTTCAAAATTTTGATAAAAACTTGGAACTAATATCTTGTCTATCTGCAGATTTTCAGTTGCATGGTGGTCATATACTTTTCCAATGACCACAGTTTCAATAGCAACCATAAAGTATGCAGAGGAGGTTCCTTCTTTCATTACCAAGGCTCTGGCGTTGGCCCTTTCCTTCATGTCAACAACAATGGTCTGCATATTATTCGTCTCAACCCTTCTGCATGCTTTCGTTTGGAAAACCTTATTCCCCAATGATCTCGCCATTGCCATAACAAAGAAGAGATACAGCAAGGATAAGAAGCCTTTGATGAAGCGTTGGACAAAACATTCACCTCTTTCATTTGTCACGTCAATAGGGAAACATAACTCAGGAGACAAAGAGTGCGCCTCTGAGGAGGAGAAATGATTGTAAATCAATAATCACGCTGCATAAAAATGTATAATATGCAAGTTAGCAGCAATATATAAGGGTATCAAGCAATTAGTCCTGAAGGCAATCAAGAGTAACAAAGTCTTGCTGCATTGAGGATGAGCACAAATGTAGTGACTAGAAAAGAGCAAAACGTAATCGAAAGGTCTAAAGTAGCCTTCCCTACTCTGCAGCCATTATAGTAAGAATGTAAT